AGATACTCAGGTAAGCTTTAAATTTTTCTGAAATCACTTTCATTTTTAATAGGAAACTGCCGCCTAAACCTCCATTGGAAAAAACTGGGGGATCAGTTTTTTGCACAGCATACCTCATGGAGTTCTTATCAAGGCACTCGTGGTGCCAGGTGGCGCCACGTCTGCACGCAACTTACGCAGCTTGCGCAACTTACGCAGCTTTCGTTGGATCGATACGTATGTATTATTCACGATTCAGTCGCAGCTCGCAACTTACGCAGCTTTCGACAACGTTGACGACGACGTCGCACGGTATGGCCTAACGTACGGTCTTTGAGCTGCAGTGCATATTCTCTTGCGTACTCGCTTTCTGCACACAGTTCGGAGGTTTCAGCCTTGACGGAGACGTGAAAACCGTGTAGGAGAGTTGAGCCGTTATTAGTCGAGTTTGTGCAACATATGAGGTCATTATGTGTGACGGGGTCAGATTTAATGAGGAGGGTCTTACTCCCAGTCCCTGTTTTTCAGTGAAGCGTGCCTAAGGGCTGCGAGATCCTCGCTTGTGATCTGAATTTGAATGATGAAACTATCAGGAATATTGTTGTACAGGACACTGAGCTGCACTTCGGAGCACAGTGATCTGTTGTGTAGGTGCATAAGCAATCTTGCTTCTAGTGACTGCACTTGCCTTCTAATGGGTGACTTCGATTACCCAAACATTAACTGGAACGGCAATCCTTCTCAGGCGGCATTATACTCTAACAGATCAATAGTCACAAATTTTTTCAGTCAGTGCATTTCGAATCAGAGGGGATCACACCCTCGTTCTTTTATTCTGCAATAATCCCGATATCATAGCCAGTCTCCATGCTACTCCGGTAAGGTCTAACGACCGTGGTTCGATAGTTTTTAGTCTCCTCAGGTCTTTTGTAGACGAAGAGTTTACTTGGAAGTATTAGGTTTTCCGGGAAGTTCTCAGTGTTTTGAGTGTTTCACTTCAAACGATCATAACTTCCTTAAAACTCACAATCGAAATGAGCACCGTTTAAATCAGCACACTTTTGCCAATGTGACATCTGTCGATAAATCCCATCAAAGAAAGAACTGGGTGGTCGAGAATCCACGAAATCCATGAAGGCTTTTTTGCTTGGTCCGCATTGATGAAGGATTTTCCAGCAGGGAAGTTCTGATAATGTTTGAAAAGGTGATGGTCGGTTGGTGAAAGGTCTGGAGAATCTGGCGGGCGATGTAGAAATACCCGCCATATTCTCCAGACCTTTCACCCTCGATTCGTTCAATCTATGGATAGTGATTTGTGAAACGTGCGTGTGCGGGCTTTGTCATTCAAAAGAATCGGACCCTTTCTGTTGACAAGTGCTGGCTGTAGCTAACTCGATTTTCAGTGCAGTTCGTCGATTTCTTCACAGTAGGACTCTGCTGTGATGGTTTGGCCTTGCAACAAAAGTTTTAGTGGATCACACCAGCCGATGACCACCACACTGCGAGCATAATCTTTTTTCGTTGAGATTCGGCTTTGGAAATGTCTCGGTGATTCGTCGACATCCAACCACTGTCCGGAACGTCTCCTGTTAACACACATGATCCGCTTTTCATCAAGGTGGCAATATGGTCCAAAACGGGTCGTTTCCATTGCACAAAAACAGTGAAGAGAAACTTCGAGACGTGCCAATTTCTGTCGATCACTCAAATTGTGGGGCACCCTTTGACGGGTTTTTTCACATTCCCATTGCGTTTCAGACCATCCGCAACAGTGGATTTGCCAACGCCTAGCTTTTCAGCAATCTCTCGAACTGTTTGGGATGGGCCAGCCAAATCCTCGTCAGTATTGCTATAGGTCGACCGCTACGAGGTTCATCGTCAAGGCTGAAATCTCCAGAACGAAATTTATCTAATCATTTCGCACCATGTTTTCTGCAACAATATTGGGCCCCACACCTGTTTAATTTGTCGAGCTGTCTCGACTGCGGATTTGGCCCAATTTGTAGTTCAAGAAAAATATCGTCCGAAGTTGCTCTTTTGAGATACTGAAAAAAGGGGTTTATCAAGCAATGGTGAAAAGGCAATCGGATAGCGCAAAAAATTCTCTCAAGGATGCACTACTGAGACGCAAGGGAATGAGTTTTTAATCAGCGAAAAATAGTACAAAAAATAGTAGCACAAAACGTTGAGAACTTTCCGGACAACCTAATACAACTACAGCAAAGCCAATTGTGATCTCATCAATGAGTACCTCAGTTCTATTGACTGGATAGGCCAATCCTGCTTCCATGTACAACGAAAAAATCAGTCCTTACAAAATGCTATTTCCACTAAAAAGGAAGATGACTGGCAAGCCTACAGACTAGCCGGCAATAAGTTCGAAAAAAAACTCTCCAGATATAACTTTCAGTAGAGAAAAAGTCAAAGAAAAAAAGGCTTTCTATAAATTTCTGATTTCGTATTAAAGAGGGAGTGAGTGCTCTAGAGGCTGAAGATGGCACAGTAGCTGTTTCGGGTTCCAGTAAGGCTGAAATGTTGGCAAGAAAAGTGTACGTCAAGCGATGTGCGAAGACATCATTCCGTCTCGCTATGCAATTTTGAAGCAAATCAAGAAGTGGACTACTGGCTCCTCTCATACCCCAATGGGATCCCTTTCGTCTCCACCAAGAAAAGTTCTGTTAGTATATAACTCCACTGGAATTTCTGTGTAACCTGGTTTGTTTCTGCAGTGGTTCCTCGAAATTGGCGTCATTCCTATGTTGCCCCTATCAGGGAACAAGTCCCACTTTGTGACCCAAATAATTACCAACCTTTCAGTATCACCTCAATATTTTTCAGGATGTTCGAAACACTTCTCGAAAAAGTCATTGTGCATCACTTAAAGGCGAAGCAATCTCTATCCAAACTTAATCATGGACTTAGAGAAAAGAGGTTGACGGCAACATTTATGTTAGAAGCACTTAATGGCAGAAAGCTGTACTGGACATCAGGAACAACTTTATAGTCATCTATTTCAATTTTTAAAAGGCGTTCGACAAAGTTGTCTATCCTATTTTGCTCCAAAACTCGTGCAAGTTGGCATTCATGAGGGATTCATCAAACGGACGGAAGAATTCTTGAGTGAGCAAACCTTCCAACTTCGAATTGATACTTCAATGTCTCAAGTTTGAACTCTTCGAGCAGAGTTCCCCAAGACAACGTCCTTTCCCCAGTATTATTAATATTCACACTTTTGATCTGCCCCTTTAGTCAGGAAGTCGGAGTTTAACTCAGAATGATTGCTCATGACTTGAAGGTCTATTGCCCAATTAATGGAACAGGTCCTCTCCAACTACACCACGCAATAGATACTGCGGTGCGCTGGTCCTCCGATAACATGATCCCTTTGAATATCAGCAAAACCAAAGCCCTTCATTTAGGACAATCAAATCGACGCGCGCAGTACCTCATTAATAACTCTATTGATACAACTGAATCAATGAAGGATTTGGGTTTTATTGTAGATTCAGAGTTGAATTTTGAGGATTACTTGAATAATGCAGTAAGTAAGGCGGAACAGAGAGTGTTTCTGCTATTTAGATCATTAAAGTCTAAGGACCCCGTGTTGCTCATGAACACCTATGAAATTTATGTGTGTTCAGTTTTCGAGTACAACACAAGTATCTACTTTTCGCGTGAAAAGAAATTCCCCAAAAATTCGGGGAAGATAGAGAATGGCTTCACTAGGAAACTATTCATCAGGATCTTCGGATTTACATATGCGAGCATTTCCAGCTGTTCAATCAGAAACAAAATCCTCAATTCTGATCCTCTTCATTTAAGAATGAGAAGGAACGACATCCTCATGGTGTTTAATATTCTAAATAAGAGAGTTGAGTTGAGCTCCAAATCCTTCTTTGATTTGGTCCCGTCCAGAACTAGAGGAGAACAATTTACACTTTGTTTTCGGCAACCTCGTGCTCTCCAGGGCGAAACTTTTTTATTTTTCGTAAAGCAAGGGAGTATGTAAGGATGAGCAAGAGTATTCCAATAGTTACTTTCAATGAGCTCAAAAAAATCTTTGTCACTTTACCTGCACAGGGATTGACTGCGTTTTCTAGTGGCTCAAATTTCAGAATTTTTATTTTTCTCTGTTTGCTCGTTGTTCGTTTCATTACTTGTTGTTGTTCAATTTACATGCTGCGAAACGTGTAATAATGTTGAAATTAAAGTATGCCTGCTGGAGTGGGTATCATAAAGTTTACCTATCCCTCTTGACTGTAACTCGTAACTGTGACTCCTGCTAAATTACCAGAGGGTTCTACCCCTACTCTAACAGAGTACAATCGCTGACAGCAAAATGTCAACATTTGTCCTCACAACTAGGACCCTGTTACAGCCCAGAAAAGCAGAAAATCAGAGAAAAACTAAAAATTCAGCAGAAAGACGCAAGTGGGACGCTGTAATTGCGTGTTCAGGAGTACGTTCGTTCGGTAAGGATGAAGTGAGAAAAACGTCTTTCAAAAAAGTCATAGGAATTTAGAACTCGCAATTTTACCCTCGAAAAAAGGGTGCAATCGTATCTACACTATAGTTCTCTGTGGACGGTTGGGCGTGACAGACATTATGATTGTGTCACCCTATCAAAGCGGTTTTTTGTCTTGAAGAGCGTCTGCGACAAAAAGTGGTAGAAGACTAGTAATACGAAGGATATGATACAGTAATGTCACTTGCCCGCTTCAACAACTGGTGTAGAACGAGTATGGCACCGCGCCGAGCGCAGCCGCACGGATATCAACCTAGTTCAATTAGTAGTATACTAAGTATAGTATCTCCAACATGCTTTAAAAAGAGCCCGATTTGATTGTCAAGCGCCCTATCAAAATGAAAATCGCATAGAACCAGAACATCAAGTTTGAGGACGTCATTCATCGTAGCCACGCTAGTCACGAGACGAATGTCTTTGGATAGTGCATTGAGGCTTTGAGTATTACTCAATTTGCTATCTCCTCATCATTCAGCTCTGACCAGCTCCGACCGGGCTAGGCTAACAACGTCTCTTCGCCCTTCGCTTCCTTGCAGCTCATCCAGTGATGAATTTTATGGTCTGATAACTTTACGAGCGCCTGCAGGGTCTCAATGTGAAAGTAATTGTGCTTGCTTGCAGTTGAGCGAAGCGTCATTTAGAAAGAAAATAAATAGAAACGAGAAAGGTGAAGGAAAACAGAGGCACAGGAAATATGACACGCTGTCATAGGCTGGACTCGTGAATGGTCCATGACAGAGGTATCAATAAAAAGGAAAAAACTACGGTTCTCTACGCACCTGCAGATAAAGCAGAAGACATGCGTCTGCTAATGGACTGCAGAATGCCGTCAGCGACCGACCAATCACGAATGTTTCCGGAACATGAAATAAGACCGACAAGTACTGGATTATGGTAGCAGCAACGGCAACACCAGTAGCTATTATATATCCTACTGAAAATCGCTCAGTTAGAGGGAACCGTCTTATTATGTCAATCAGTGTGTTTGCTTGTTTTGCTGTATGAGGTTGCATAAACCCGACAGAATTTTTTCAGAATACATCCCTTCTAAATTTGAAGAGTGGGGGAAATGTGACGCATTTTTCCCGAACATAGGACTCTAAGAATATGAGCTCTAGTTAGTGTGTACGTCTGCCGATCTGTCGATATGTCGATATGTCTTTTTTGCAAGCATGATAATGTGATAAAAAAATGCATGGGAAGGAAGGACTACTATCAAAACTGGAGAAGGGTAAGATCCCTGCAGAGAGTAATCCTACTATACATAGTACGCTAAATTTGCCTGTTAGTGCGTGCGCTTTCATGCCTGGAAATTCATAGCTTCATCAGATCCAATCGCAATAAGTTCAAACTGAAGGTAATGTGAGACTTCCCCTTTGACGCCGCTTACCTGTTCTAATCAGTCGTTATCACTTTTTGTCACTATCTCACGATTAGATTAGAACAGGTAAGCGGCGTCAAGTGGAAATGCCGCGAGCTTTGTAACGCGCGCAGCAGCAATTGCGGGGAGCTGGTTTCAACAAGTGAAATGGGCTGCGATACGGGAACATAGATGGTGGAAGACAGTAAAAACCACAACTGATTAGACTAATGTAGGGCATTAGATTATAATTGGTTACTCGAGTAGAGTCCCAATATTGATGACAGATGTGAAGTGGTAATCGATGAAGACTATTGAAGGCCAGGGTTGCTGCAGTTTTTTTAAATTCCTTGCAACAATGTGAGCCTAACGCAGCTCACGCATCAATGAGCAGAGATTCAGTGAGTGAACGTGTTTCATTCATTCTTTCTAGCAATTAAATCAGAACCGATCGACCGCCAGTCTCTCTAATTGAAAAATCTCGAAGTCAGACTTAGGTGTTTACGAAGTGATGTTCGCCGACAATGAGTCATGAGAGTCAATAACAAATTTTCATGCGAAAATTGCTCTACCAAAGCCGCTAAGACGCTCGCTTTTAGTCTAATATTTTTGACATTGTGGCTTTGTGGCCGTCTGATTGCCCGCGTTTCCAAGAAATGGTAGATGTTTACGCATGAAAATGTCGGATGCCCAGCTATCGCCGGGCGCTCCTCCGCTTTCGTCACGAGCCAGCTTCGCCTCTCCCCCCCCCCTAGTTTCACCAGGCGCTCTTACCTTGCGCGCGCCAGAACGGGCGAAATGTGCTATATGCAGGGCATTTCAACGAATGTAGAGAAATAAGTTGTAAATAGCTCACATTAATAATCACTTATGCATACCCGCTCTCCCTAGCTAATGTTTGACTCCATCGGGAGAAGGCTGCACCATTCAATAAATGATCGCAATTGTGATACGAGGATGCGTTAAAGTTGAGGCAGTCCGATAGTGTGAATACAGCGCCTTGCTACCGTTCTGAAGCGCATTTGTGGAGCCACGGGTGGCAGTGAGAATAAAGGAGATGTTTTGCCTTGTAATGTCGAGGCGTGTCACACGGATAGCCTTACTTGTTATCACTGAACACCCGACAGGACACCCCACACAATACCGTTGGTTGCCTTCCTTTTTTGGTTCGTTTGCAAAGTACACCTCCCCCCTCTAACACACCCTTCTTGCAAAAAGAAACAGGCAAATTTTTTGGACACTCATTTGGCTTTAATGGATCTGGCGGAATCCTTCAACCGAGTGCCGCGGTCGACTCGTTTGGGGAGCTCTTGGGTATCAGCTAATTTCTGAAACACTCATCAAAGCTGTACAGCTGACCCACTTGAACTCTACAACCTCCATCGGACGCTTGTTAGCGACACTTCACAGTTCCCGGTTGCTGCGGGAGTTCACCAGGGATCGGCTCTCTCGCCAAGTTTTTCATTCTCTGTATGGAGTACGCGATGAGGAGCATTAAAAAAGAGCCCTTCTGACGCTGGCATATGCTGACCACGTACTGCTGATGGATCGATGTGGAAGGGATTTAGAACGTTCCGTCATCTGTTTTAAGAGAGAGCACGAGTTCAGACTTGAACCAGTAAGATAGAGTATGCCGCAACTACTTCGTCAGTTGTATTCGATGGCACACCCCTCTCCAGAGCAACAAAGTCCATGCCTCAGCTCTACCCTTGGGGCGGGTTGAGATGCCAAAACCGGCACAACGGCAGAATCAACTCTGCATGGAACAAATGGAAATCTGTTGCAGTCCTCTGTGATAAGAGAATGCCAATGCGTGTGAAGACAAAGATCTACACGTAGTCGTGAAAAGACGCCAGTTATTGAGACGAGACCAAGCAGGTGACGATCGAGGGAACAATAGTCTATAGTGTCGTGGAGATGAGAACGTTATGATGGAGCCTAGGACATAAATGACTCCATCGAATCCGAAACCAAACCGTCCGAGGCCAGATAAAGTTCCAGTCGATTGTCATTGCCGCATGTCGTTTCCGCTGGTATGGTGACGTTCAGAGAAGACCTAATGATGCTGGATCGAAGTCCGCTCATGAGATCTTTTTTATTGGTAAACGTCTGAAAGGCCGACCCAGAGTGCAATGGAAAGACAACCTGAAGATGGGCATGACTGCTGCTGTCCGTCTGCAGCCGATGCATGGAACCGGCACCACTGGAAAGTTTGGTGTAAGAAGCGTACCCGGCAATAGCTGGACAAGAACGTTATGAAGAAGAAAGACTGCGAATTGGCAAAATGACTGAGAAGGACTACTATTTGTACCTCTAGTCTCGAACAAAGCAAAATCTGACATGCACAAAGGACACGAACCTCCAACATTCTACTTATGAGTCAACACGCCTATCCACTGAAGGGTCAACGCACCTATCCACTAAACTAGCAGCTGGTTGCAACTATCCTCCACTTTTCCAGCTTTTCTCATGGAACACACACGAGGAGTGAGGGATGTCATACTGAAACCTTCGTAACATCTTCAATAGGATCGTTCCATAACTCCAATAGCAGACTTGTGCTCACAAGAAGATGGTTTCATCCCATGGAATTTGAATGTAGACCTAGGTATATGGATAGACACAAAACTGGTAACGAATATGCAGATTAAAAGTGTCACGGGGACTTCCAAGACGAGTTCTGGGTGGTCAAAGTTTACGAACACTCAGTTTTGGCTCGTAAGCGCTGCTGGTCGGTCGTTGCCAGTGCCATTGTGGCCTAGTGGTAACGGTCTCGCTTCGAGGCCAAATGCTCGCGTGTTTGCATCCCGTTGATGCGAAAGCTTTTGCTTTGTCTCCTATAAGAGCTTTTATTCTAACCAGTCTGGCTGACGCGCACTACTGCGCGCATGGTTAAACCCATGGTACTACGATAACTGACAGGATTTGTCCTGAGCACTAACACTCAGCCTAATATCATGTTTTCATGTTTCGAGGACGACCAATTTCATCATGTTTCCCCATTTTAATGAACATTTGCCACTGTTTGGTGCCTATCATATTTCTAAAAGCACCATTCGTTGGGGATAGGACAGCATAGCGGTGGGAAGAATCTCGATAATAAAAAAGTCGAAATCATAGTGGCTCTTATCATTCCTCACTGGCCAACAACTTCCCTTCCGGTGAAACTCGAGCGTTTAAGCGTGGAAGCAATTCGACGCTAAACTGAGGGATATTGCTAGGAATAGAAATTTGGCCAGGATGATGTGAGCACATACGGAGTCCCAAAAGCCGTTGTCGACACTGACAGAATTTATCTCCACCTTTAATGTTCCGTGAGCACCCCTTGAGTTACTTGCTGGAGCAGTTCCACAGTGTTGCAACACTCTGCTATGAATTTTCGGGTATCTTATCAGCTCTTATCATATCCTGCCACAAACCAATAATGGTTCCATTCTGCACACTATCTTGCCTCTTGGAACCGACGTCCCGTTGTACTGGTCGACGTTGTGTGTTAGGTGTCTCTACCTTCTAAGGCTCCTTATGGTATCTTATCAGCTGTTATCAATTCCTGCCACCCACCAATAATGTTCCCATCCTGCTCCCTATCCTACTACTTCTATCCAACGTCCGGTCGCTGCTCTGGCCGGTGTTATGGATTAGTAACCCACTCTTTCTGAGGCTCCTTATGGTATCTTATCAGTGTTATTCAATTCCTGCCGCCCACCAGTAATGTTCCTATCCTGCCCCCACCTTACTTCCTGGAACCAAGGTCTCATCGTTGCTGTGGCCCGCGCTATGAATGTGGTGATCCTCCCCTTATAAGGCTGCTCGCGGTATCTTATTCAGCTCTTATCAGTTCCTGCCACCCACCAACAGTGTTCCTGTGCACGACCCCCTACATGACTTATCAGTTTGAGCGCTCTATAACTCTTTTGAAGGAAGTTATGAATTTCCGGTCAAACACATAACAATACACACACACACGCCAACAGACAAACTTAGCGGATTATATATAGTAGGATTAATCGAATCCTCCAGGTTTACGGTCCACCGGAGCAAACAGATCAAGTAGATCGACACATGACGTGGTCGTTAGAGTATGTATCTGATCACTATGTGCCTTCTGTGAACACGGTGTCGGATGTGTAATGAGTGATCCATCCGACAATTTGGAGTTTTGGCCAGAAATATTTGATATCCTGGGATATTTTGACCCCTTGAACAACAATATCACATCCGTTCAACGAAAAAACCCTTGTAGCCTTTCATAATGTTGTGGTCATCAACTGAACGAGCGAACCGATGATTTTCGCGTCAAACGGATGTGATATTCGTGCCCAGAGTGTCAAATACACCCAGAAACGAGTTTCTGACCAAATTGTGATTCTAGCCGAAACATCGAATTGTCGGATGGGTAATGTGTTCACAGAGGGCAGATATTGATCAAATACATAATTGATGGACTACGTCAATGCTTGATCTACTTGATCTTCTTGCTCTGGTGGACCGTAAATTTGGGGAATCGAAAACTAGAGTAAAAGTTCTTATAAGAGACGAAGCAAAAAACTTTCGCGTGCAAACACGCTAGCATTTGGCTTTGAGGCGAGACTGTTACCACTAGGCCAAGGTGGCACTGCCCAACAGCCGATCAGCAGCGCTTACGAGCCAAAACCGAGTTTTCGAAAACTTCGACCGCCCAGAACTCGTCTAGGAGATCCCCGTAGCGCTTTTAATCTGCATATTCATAATCAGCATTCGAGACTCTATTCATGTACCTAGATCTCCATTCAAACTTCCATGGGAAGTTGGAACCATTCCCTTGTCAGTGTAACGTGCCGCATTGAAGGTATACACCTTATTGCAGATGGCCGGACTGACCTAGTAGCCTTTTCAGGTAAGTTCTCACACGTAGATATGGTATATGCATAGCGTGACAATAAATTGTAAGCACGCGCACTTTGATGCACATGAAAATGGCGAACTTCAACAAAGTGATTAACTGAATTTGTTTCAGATGAATGTCCCGAAGCGGAAGGTTTTACATCAGCTCTACTACCTGTAGGTGTGTGCAATAGCGAAGACTCACTTTTCCTTCCGTACGTGTCCGTCACATAGGGTGTAACTGCTGCACCGAATACCATCATAATGAACCAACAGTTGATAATAATACCCTAAAATTGTCTAAAGAGAATCCTTACCCGCACGACCCCGTCAGTGTCAACAACGCTCAGAAAAGCTTTGTTGCAAACACACAGCCACTAGAGTGCAGTAGAACTTACTTCAGACATAGTAGTTGCTTACCTTTACAATAGCCACTACATCTTCACTAATATTATAGCCTCTAATGTTATAGGAATCGCGAATATACCTGAAACAATGAGGAAATTGCTTGGTTTCTATCTCCCTATGTCCATGTGTAACAGCAAGCTCCCGCGCATGCAGAGGAACCAGCAAGAACGGTAGCATGATCATTCGATGTTACTCAAAAACACATACTCGTCAAAAGTGTTCTCTTCAGCAAAGAATCAAATAGCACTTACCGTTCAACGGATGCAACTGCCGTGTTGATCGTGGCGTTTGTGTAACCGGAAGGGAAATTGGTTATTAGTGAGAGTATAGAACAGATTAATATGAGGCTCGCGGTTGATCGCCTCGCCATCTGCAAGGAGTCAGACAATGATTCTCGATTACTCAAAGCAACATATCTAGACCGCTTCTTGTAGCAAAATGCGAGGGAACATGCAGAAAACTCGAACTTTTCACTTATTGAAACATCGTCAGTGTTGATCAGATTGCAGAGCTTTTTCATTTTTTAATCTCCCATGAAAATTATCTATTCATTGGTATAACCAGTATTGAAATCCCACTGTATGTAATTCGCTAACTATGTCTCTGTGTGTTTATGTTTGTTTGTCCGTCCCGAAATCCATCCCTGTACCAGTGAACGAGGGTTAGACCGTCCAGGAACTGAATCCATATTGCCTCCCACGTAGGCCAACCGAGCGTTCTCAACCCTAGTGCAAGGAATTGGTACCAGACTCGTCTGGAAGGATGAGAACACTGACCTGAACATCGGTTGGGCCCCGTAAGTCATTGTAAGTCCACATCGCATTCAGCAAGACACTAAGATTCTGAATGGAAGTGGAATGCGTGACAAGAAAGGGGAATGATCGGAGTTTATTTATTATCACTAAGAAGGTGAGATGTTGCTTCTAAGAAGCAGGGGAAGAGGCAGGGGAGAACACTATTGTTCCATAACACAAGGTCTAATAAGGGACCCTGCTATGGAGCGGGCATCAAATCCACATCTAAGCTTCAGTTTGGAACTAGCGCTAGTTACAGCCAAGATCCCATCCTTTCCACTTTTCTTATAAACAGTGACTTTATACCCGGCCGCTAGACTAACTGGATATCTGATGATTTTTTGGATTTTTACAGAGTTCTGGTAAGCTGGTTCTGGTATGATGATGATGACTACCATTTAGCGCAGCAGTTCATCCTCAACGAATTCTCAGAAGACTGCTGAGTCAGGAGGAAAAAGCCACCCACACTTCAGTCTTTCAGGGTGAGCGTGATTTCATGCATCCTTGCCTGAAAGGGTCAGAGCCCTTAGCTAAGCATACTTGTGGTAAGGGGTGGATGATCATCCGCTAACCACAAAAGGGTACCATTTGAAGCGCGTTACAGATTCGCAGGGGAAGCAGGGAACGCATGGAGCAGTAGCAGAGTTCTGCGCGCGGTTCCGTGAAGCTGCGAGCACTTCAGCGGCTGAATTGGAGGAGGTTTTCAAGAACGTTATGTAAAGCTTCAACAGTTTCCAATGACCTCCTGCCGTTCACACCCTATTGCGAGCTATAAAGTCACCATGCTATGTGCTCCTCTGCGTTCCGATTCGTATAAGTAGGCATCATAGTAAGTCTCATTAGCTACTGGTCGACTTATGGAATAGCGGATCATTCCGTGTCTACGGTGGAACAGAGGCGAGCGCTTCTTCCGCGTTGCGTGAGATTCCCGGTTGCATCAAAAAGCATGTCATCGGGGATGCCGGGGTGGATTAGGCTTTTGGCGCAGTAGCGCACATCTCCTCAACTTAAAGCACTTTTGGACCTCTGAAGAAGATTACGATTACGTCGGAACGTCAGGCCGTTCAAATAAACAATCTATAAACCTTTCAATGCGCAACATTACACACTGAATATGGGGGGGGAGTGTTTCTAAAAGAGTAAGATCGGACGAGAGAAGTTTGAGCAATACCCGCATGAGGCAGTATAAGGACCATGTGGCGCTCACTATGAGGTTATTTACTGAGCAGGGATTGGACAGCTTTGTCATAGAACGAGTGGGGCTGGCGCTGAAGAGATTCGAAGAGGTCCTTTTTGATGCGGTCGTAGTTATTTCTGTCTTCTCAGATGCTGGTAAGGGCATGAAGCACAGATGAGAGTCCTGAGGATAAACACGAGAACTACCCTCCGTATCTGTGGCTTTACCTCAGGCCGGCTCCTTTGATATGTTTTGAAGCGATTTTGCAAATGACTTCGAACGCCACCTTCGAGAACAGCGACAAGAAACTGTTTCGGTCGCTTCTCCCGCTTTGTCACGGATAAGTCCCGCAGCCGTTCCACTCGGTGTTGTTGCATTCACTGCCGGCTTTTATGAGAGGAGTTCCCAAAACAGCATCCCTTGCCATCTCAAATGTGCTTACGCATGAATTTCTGACTTGGCATTCCGCATGTTGTCCCCCGGAAGACGTAGTTTTCATTTTCAATAACGATCGATTCCGGAAAATCCTGCTCAATCGGTTGGAAAATGATCATCTGCGTGTAGCCAAGCGAGGTGCTCGAAAGTAGTGCCCCGACGTGAGCGCTTTCTATCAGGGAATAGGTTGCGGTCGCGGCCAGCTGTGATGCTACAGTTGTGTCCAGGTGTCTGTTCCAACACTAGCTCTCGGATGCGATTCTGAACTATGGCGCAAGGGCCTCCATCTAAGGTGAAGTGACAGTTGGTCTGACGTTTACGTCCACAGCTCGTACCGCCTTTGCCGAAATGTGGGGTGTTGTCTTACAACCCGATACACTAGTGTGGTGGCAGGCTTTCATAAAATTTTACTCCTTCCGACCGCCTTCCTTGCGTGAATCTCCAACTCAATTTATAATCATGATTTGGGGTGAAAGTGTTGATTTACCTGGACTCCCAAAGATGATGTCTCTCCGAAAAATATTCTTTTTCCTACGGCGAAGGAGTTGATTAATTTGTATTCTTAACTGGTCAATCTCCAAGGCGTGTTTCCTTTTTATGACCCTTGACAAACGTCTCTTCACTACTCGCCAAATGCATCTACTCAAGGAACGTCTAGAACAGAAGAATATGGAATTCTACAATATGTTACGAGAGAAATTGACGATATGAAGTATAAAAAATTTCGAGTGGAATCTTTTTGAATGTATACAATGGAGCATTATAAAATATGACCACCCTGATCGACTCTAGTCTTCCATTTTGGGCTGTCACAATGTACAAAAAGGTTCGCTTGACGTATCTAAAGGTTTTTCTTGAACAAAGGCCGAGAATAGATGGTTGCTGCGAACATTGAACTTGAGCATTTGCCGGAAACAAAAACGTTGTCGCCTGTTCGGCGAAGACAAGGTAGACGTAAGTAATGACCTTACTACAGTAATATTATTCTAGTGCCCCATTCACGACTAAGACCAGTTTTAGACTAATGCTGAGCATTGCCACAGATGCGTTGATAACGAGAAAGCAAAGCATGCCAGCAGCTGGGTAAATATGATGCAATTCCTTGCTTAGAAACGGGAAACACAAAGCACTGAACTCATGAAAGGACCGACAAAGTCTTCGACCAACATTGATTCTTTTGCTTCTGAATTTCATTCCGAATGTTGGCCCATGCATAGGAGTTGCATTACTTGCATGTAACCCTTGAATTCCCATAAGTATGCAGAATTCTTGATCAATTCGATAGGGGCCACTCTTTGTTCGGTTCTTTGAAACGGATTTTGGATTTTCTGGTCTCGCTCCTGTGGCGCTGCCTTTTCTGAGCCCACTTCTGCGCTTCCTTTGAATTGTCTTTCGCAGAATTCCTTTTTATACGATTCTTTCACATTCTTTTTCTACACAGCTTGTCTCCTTGGCCCTTTCATCCTCTCGCCCCGCCCTGATCATGGCCCCGTTTCATGCCAAAGTCCCTGAAACCTCTCAGAGTACACCTGATCATCACAAAATGATTGCCATGTGCGCAACAGAAGAAAGGAACATATAAGGATAAGTGGCATAGAGTCTCCAGCCACAAAGGTCATACTCCCCACTTCGCCTTCCCCTTTTTCTATCTTTCTTACTCTCAATTTACGTGCATTACGGCTGTTCCAGTTCAAAACGATTATAGTCATTGCCTTTTAAACGAAGGCGCAGGTGATGTTGGCAAGTGGGAAGGCTAACACGAGCGTGGCCTCTAAGGCCAAATACCACATCGACCTCACTCCGGCGCCGACCAAGAATTCAACCCACACTTCTGCCCTCATACTTTTTACAATTCGTCGTTCTTATCAATAAAAATTTACTCATATTAACGCGAGAGTCTTTTGCATATTAGCTTGACCGCAATGTTAGCCAAGTTGTATAATCACCTCAAGTCACGGAATAGAATCGCTTTCGAGCTCAAACAAACCAGCTGTGTCAATGCAACGGATGCACTTCCAAAAGGTCCGAAGCGATCACAGTTATCACAATTCTAAGTGTGATATACAGCAGGTAACTGCGACTTGTACCAACTGTAAAGACATTCTTCTGTCAAATCCTCGCCAGGTTCTTGCATTGTGAGGTTTGGCGTCATCTTACAATACTTCTGTGAACTCCTTCTAAGTAGAGTCATTTTTCTGGCTTCATCTCTTGCAGCTTCATAGCATTCTTCAATCATAGCCTCCTTTTCGTTGCACAGGTAACTTCGTGCTATTCCCTTCAACTCTTGAGATCTATGGCCACCAACAGCATTATCTTCTCCACAAAGTTCGATTACATTTGGACATTTGATCCTATACTCTTTTGTAGGAGACTAGAGGCGCTACTCGTCATACGGTAGTTTACATGTAAGGGCGAAACCCACAACTTGTCCAAAAACGAGAGTTCGTTGAAGCATTTCTCGGAGTTTTATTCTAAACATTGCTCCGGAATCTGGATTTCTCTGTGAGAACAATTTGCAATAAAAAACTTAGAGGCACGTATCGACAGAAAGTATTCATAGGACGGGATTCATTCCTTGAGAAGACAGAGGCTGGTATTCGAATTTGACAAGCTTGGCGAATGACTTTGTTGCTGCTATATTTCACCTTCTATTTTTTCCTTTCTTTCTTTCCTTCTAAGAGCTAACTAGTTCTACCTTCTTGAACTTGTTGACCCTCCATCATCTAGGGTTGTGTCTCTCGCTTGGAAAGCGAACACCCACTCGAATAACTTTTTATTGAAGACTCCCTATTCGATAAGTGTTCCTTGACTTATGTCCTAAATGTTCCAAACAAAAAGCCCACCAATTTTCGAGAAACTACGCCTATTTCTTCGCCACATACGCTGCCAACAGCAGTTATCTCGCGAATCATTAGTAACAAGCTTGGCTGACGCGCCACTACTGCGCGTATGGTTGAACCTATGGTAATGGTACTCCGCGCTGACAGGATTCCGCCATATTAACCAAACACAGCTTCCGCCCGATTACAAAACTTTTATAGAATTACCAGGCCTATTCTTCATTATGATTCTTCCTATTTAATGAACGTTGCATAATGCCCTGGTGCTTAAATC